TTCCTACTTCTTTCCTACAAATCAATGCTTAATGCCCATCCATGTGAGTTGATCTTCCATGATGCTTCTCCTGATTTTGAGCTGATCTTCTTTGGGTTTATTTGGGTAGAAATTTCGTGCATATAAGGAAGAAAACAAAGGGGAATCAAGCTTTAGACTTTTGTGAATAAAATGCCAAAACAGCACTATTCATTCAATGACTTTGTTTCTGATTTTTGTTCCTTTGTTTCAAAAGTGATTATGCTTATGTTTTGTGGAAGAAAAGGCTTTATTCTTTGTTGAAAATCAGGGAATAACTTCAGCCTTATACCCAAGCTTAGAAAAGACAAATAGGAATTGACAATTTTGGGACTTTGAAGTGCAGAGATGTACAATAATCGATTAGCGCCTTTAGATAATCGATTAACAGGATTTGGTTCCAAACCGGGAATGTTCAGAGACGCTCAATAGTCGATTAACACTGAAGAACAATCGATTAACAAGGCTTGCACAAAACTGGGTATTTTCAGAGGTCACAGATAATTGATTATTGGTTTGGAGATAATCGATTGTTGGAGGTTGCTAGTTTGTGACGAGGAATCAGAGGGATAGAATAGTCGATTATCAGTTGTGTATAATCGATTATTCAGGCTTTCAGGATCAAGATTGGGATAGAAAGAGGGAAAGGCATTATTTGGGTAAAAAGGATTTGAAAAGAAACAAACAAAGGTTTTAAAAGATATCAAGAAACTAAGGTTTGACTTGTCTTCCTTTGATCTCATTTTGACCTGGAGTAAAAAATTGATGGGAAAGAGTTTATTTTGAATTAAAGGAAAGAAAGAAGACTTTTGGATATGTTGGGGAGTTTGGGGTTCAGGTGGAGCCATCCAGGGGTACATCACTCCCCCTTCTTTTTTACTCGTATCTCTCTGTCCAAGATCGGTGACAGACTCGCACAGTCGCCAGAAGTCTAAAATCTTTTGGAATCCGTAGCTTTGCACCAACACTTTGTGTTGGTGTAAACTAATTTTTATTAATACACCAACACTCTGTGTTCGTGTAAATTTTTGTTAATGCACCAACACATATGTCGGTGTAAACCATCAAAATATTTGTGTATAACTGCGGTGTACAAATGGGGTACAATTTGTGGTGTAAGTGTAGCATAACCCTTTGGAATACTAAACTCGCACATTTAAAAATCTAATCAATTAGACCAATCTTTTGAAAATCGGACCGGACAAAGAGTCGGACGAGCATTTAGGTCAAGAGCAAATCACTTGGATCGGATGAAATTTGATTAACGACTCGGTCAATTATAATTAAAATAAAAATATTTTTAATATATTAATATAGATATTCTTACATAATAAAAGTATTTAAGTTTGTACTTTTTTCTTCTCCACCTAGTTTTTAATGCTCCGTATCATTTTTCATATAGTACTCTTTCACACTTCCAAATTTTAATTTTTATTACCTTTATTAATCTTTTTAGAATTTTTAGTTTGTTGAATAGACTTTTTAGTTTATTGAAATAATAAAATAATACAAAAAAAATACTGTTCATTTCTTTATTATTAAAAATCATTTTGAAATCCTTTATCCTTTAATATAATAAAGGAGACTCGGATGCACAAAATTCGACATTTGGCATGTCTATGTGGCAAAATTTAAACATGTCAGCACGCCACGTAATATCCGAGTAAACCAGCGGAAATAAATTATATACGATGCACCAGTGGATCTCCCGTTGAAAATAATTGACCGCATATTTTCTACGCGATAATCACTAGCATTCAACGAAATTCTTTCCTTCAGATTACAACAATACGAACACCTATTATGATGATATTATAAAATAATTAATAATAAATATGAAAAAATATAAATACTATTTAAAAATAAATATAATATTTTTCATTTAATTTAAATAGAATTTTAGGACCATGCTACATATATTAATCCTTTATCTTACTTCCATATTTAAAAATTACATACTTAAACAAATAAGTTACAAAAGTTTATTTTGGAAATTCATGTATAATAAGAGTTAAAATTAATAGAGTACCTATATTAATGGAAATTAGAATATTATTTTTTACAAAAAAGATTATTAAGAAACAATCCTAAATAATACTAAATTTGAAAATGATGATCACGAGTATATTACTCATCACCTTACTTATATTATGTATTTTGGATAATACTTATATTATTTTGGATCCGTTTACTTATATATGGAAATCCTTAACTATGTGTCTTGGATAATCAATAATGTTATATGTTAATATATGTTTTCATATTACAACATTACGAACTCCTATTACGATTATAATATAAACAATTAAAAATAAATACGAAAAATAAAAATGCTATTTAAAACATAAAAAGAAATATAATAATTTTCATTTAACTTAAATAGAATTTTAGAACCATGCTACATATATTAACTTAAAAAGAAATATAATAATTTTCATTTAACCTAAATATAGTAGAATTTTCATTTAACTTAAATTACTTTAAATGTTGTTTTGTCTTAATATATTTAATTTTTTTTATTGTTTTAATGTAATTTGATACATAACATTTTTTAATTTTTTATAATAACAAAATCAAACGGGATATATTAGTGACCAGAATTTTTGTATTTAAAATTTATATGGTTTCTTTTTAATGAGCATTGAAAAGTTTTCTTATCTTCATATCTAAATCGTTAGTATAGATAAATTAATTTATGTTAAATAAATAAAGTTTAATACAAAATTTAAAATTAGATGTCAATTTTAATTAAAAGGATTTAATTAATTCTTCATGTGAAAATGAACACTCCAAGAAAAGATAAAAGTATGTGTACTTTTTTTAATTATAGTCATGTTATTTTATCAATTATAATCTGCATCCGTAAAAAAATTAAATGCCGTTCATAGGTTTCATAGAAATCATGGATAATTAAAATGTATAATTGTTGATTTATTTAGGTATGCATATACCTCACTGATTATTTTTTATCAATTTTATATTTACATCAATAGGAATAAAATGATGTCTAACCATGACTCTTTAATTTAATTTTTCTATATTTTTTATGAAAAAAATGGTTTATACATATTGAATATTTTAAACAATTGAATGGATGAATTTTAACAAACTTGAGTAAATATATATTCATATTTAAAAAAATTAAAAAAATCAAAACATTGCAAAAAATTTGATATGAAATGGGTGAATATAAAAAAATATGAGTACATATTTTAAAATAAAATGATATGCATGCGAGGAAATAAAATTTAGGCATTGATGCGGAATGATCAATGTAAATAATTCAAAGTTCAAATATAAATTTTAAATTGGAAAATTTAATTATATCTAACATGTAATTCATTTATCAAAATGGCAACTAAGTTGTGTTCAAAACAAATAATTGATCCTCCACATGTATGTATATATATATATATATATATATATATATATATATATATATATATATATATATAGAGTTTGGTCCCGGTGAGAAAGAGATCTTATGAAAGAAATAAGAATGTCTCTCCACCGTTAGATCTGATCACGCATGCATTTACTTGCGCCTAGTCTTCAAGGGCTTTTTGGGGTTTACACGTCTCACACCCACCGATCTCATTCTCTCTCCTATATGCTTCCGGGATTTTCTCGCTATCTATGGATCCGTCTTGCTCTTTCTCTCTCATTTTAACGCATCAATTTCTCTGCTTCCAATCTCAAACCTCCGCCTCTTCTATCATAGCAATCCTCACTTTCACTCTGTCACTTTAAATCTACACATCGAGCCGACGCGCAGACCTAGGGTTCAACCAAGGCATGAATTCTGACAAGGGCGTGCACGGTGGTGATGGCGCACAAGGGCTAGACAAAGGATGATTCCGGCGAGAAGAAATTACAGGTTTGGTTTCGTGCTGGTCTATCTTAACGAAAAAGAAAATACTACCGGGAGACTTTTTTTAGCTTTTTAATTCAATTTTTTCAATAAGGATTATAAAAGCAATAATTACTTAGATTCAATTTTCTTTTTTTAATTTTCTTAATTTTAATTATTTAAAATTCTCATGATATACAAGATCAATATATGTTTAGTTGATACATTCTTTTTTAACTTTTGCACACAAGCTGTTTGTAAAATTGCCTTATAGGCAAACAGGTGCAATTTGAAACTTTAACAGTAGTTGAATGAAAGATTATTTCATGTTTAAATGCATGACATACACTCTTGATATGCATCTTTGAGTATGTAAGATGCAGTGTAACATGCTTAAATGATGTGCGGGTAGAGTATAAACCAGATTTTTCAACCAGATTTTTTTCTCTTGCATATACCTTTGTTCCTACAGAACTCTTTTCTGTTGCAACTTTGTTACTATGAGATTTTTTCTGTTGCATTTTGTTAGACACCTTATCTCAATGCTATACAATCAGAGTTGGATATTGTTTTAAACTCACCATTCTTTGTTGCTTTGTAAAGTTTTGGTACATCACAGATTCACATTTTAAAGTGTGTCTTGCATTTTGAAGTGCATGTCTTGCACTTTGAAGTGCACATCTTGCATTTTGGTTCAACCAGATTTTTTTTCTCTTGCATATACCTTTGTTCCTACAGAACTCTTTTCTGTTGCAACTTTGTTACTATGAGATTTTTTCTGTTGCATTTTGTTAGACACCTTATCTCAATGCTATACAATCTTAGTTGGATATTGTTTTAAACTCACCATTCTTTGTTGTTTTGTAAAGTTTTGGTACATCACAGATTCACATTTTAAAGTGTGTCTTGCATTTTGAAGTGCGTGTCTTGCACTTTGAAGTGCACATCTTGCATTTTGGTCAACATCTATCTTTTACGGAGTATATCTCATATGTAGATGGTAAATTAGGTCACTCTTATAATATACAAATTTACTGAACATATACAGAAATTGTTACTCCGGGGTATGATTTATGCACTTATCAGGATCTTTCATTTTGACCATTATTTGTTTCTTATATGACACTAGATGCTCCTAAGGGCCATGTGTAATGCATATTCAATCCCTATCTTGCATTTTTAAGTCTGTGCATTGCACTTTGAAGTGCTTTTCTTGCACTTTGATTAACATCTATCTTTCATATTTTATATGTAGATTACAAATCATGTCACGTTTGATTATGGATGATTCCTACAAAGATTTTGCATATTGTGGGCCAAATCCACACATTAATGTGA